TGAATTCTTATGGATGGTCATTTTCACTCGATAAATAAACATCAATTATCCCATAACACTACTCGTAAGTTCCTGTGAGTTAAAAGCGAATGTGAAAATATTTGTATCTTCAATCCACCCTATCCATTCGCAACTTATCTCGGCAGCTCTTGCATAGTTATTCAACCATACAAACAGTATTGTCTATAGTCTTTGCTTCCACCCATAAAAATTTCTCCATGGGGTAGCGATGAAGGAATCGGATTGGTCGAAACGTCTGAAATTCGCGGATTGGTTTAAACGCAACTCCCTTACACAGATATCGTTGACTGAGGATATAATTCGGTGTGATGATGCCGTTTTCAACCATCATGCAGGGAACAAGAAAACAAATCAAGTCTACTGGGTACAGAAGAAAATATCATATTTTCATCACACATTAATCACATGAATCTAGTACAGTAAATGGATAAATGTTTTGAGGGCGAAGGACGGCGCTTTGAATATATGCCATAGCCTCAAATGGATGTTCGCAATTCATTGACCAAATGACAATCCACGTTTCTTTTCTAAAAAATGATTACATTTCATTCCAACTTGTTCTGTTCTCCCTCAAAGGTCAATCAACTCACGTCCTGCTATCCACTTATTCGTCACGCAGGGAAAATTGACTGGTGGATAATTATTTTGGTTTTTCCATTATTATTATTATTACCGTTGCGTTGACACCATGCTTGCCCGCAAGCCGGTGGGAAATATACATATATATTAACATACTACTTATTATGGAATACAGTAAATCTCCTGCTATCTCGCACCCTTCGGGAATTCGAAAAAGTGGGTACATTCCAGAAACTGCGACATAGCAGGGTAAACAGTAGTAGATGTTAATAAGTAGTATAAAAATCGGTTGACAGTTTTGTGACAAAATGACCCCGATCGATGAAAAGCAGGTTAATCTCGTTAGTTTTTCTCAATGTTTATAATTATGAACTGGTAATTTATAACGGAGTTGAGATGAACCATCCTGCGTATCTCTTATGTATCGAAGAAATTTAAATCCTTTATAACGCCCTTAGCTTTATACCGGTACATTGAATGCGATATTCAGCCCTTTTTTCAGTTTTACATATCTAGTTATCCCGAAACTACCTACCTTTCTTCGGGAAAACTTTTCCTGACCCAATCATCCCATATTAATTCCATATATTCTTCCATTCTATTAGGCTAACCACAGAATCGATTATATGATATATATATTATATGATATATATATATATGTATATGGTATATACAACTGTTTTAGCTATAATAATCACACTAGTGTTAACCCACTCAAGGAAAACAAAGGTGAACCAATTTGAATACAGTGAGAAGGAAATAACACCTAAAATGAGTGAAGTACCTGTTACGGGGTATACTCAGAACATTGAATTCTTTCCCATATTCAAACTTATTGTTCTCTGTGCAATCTGTTCATGATTTTCTTGTCAGAAATGTGTACCATTAGCGTCTATAGACATCTATTCGTTAGTTCGCTTTGTTGTTACCAGAGTATGTTCAAACCGTTGTTGGTCCGACTAAGTTCAACACGCAATGCCATAACGTGATTCATAAACCATACCTTTTTCAAATTAAGATGTCCGAGTACCGATTTAAGATGTCATGTTGCTATGTGGATAGTAAGACAGTCCGATTACGCCATAGTTTCACATTGTCCTGTACTTTTTGTGGTGATTTTGTTGTCATGTGCAGTTCATCTGTGCGGTGAAGGCACGCCTGCTGTACAGCCGAAGTTCGCTGGGTCTACTAAAGACTCGCGGTTATAGACACGGTTTGGTTTATGACCGTGGCTTTGGTGACCACTGTAGCAAAAATGACCACATTCGAGTGCCCCAAAGAATCGCAAAACAAACTGCAGATTATAAAGATGTATTTTTAGCAAAATCGTAAATCGTCGTTTGTCTCAGGTTGGTTCTCCTTTGGAAATCAACACTCGCTGTTTAAATCAACTGTACACTCCAATAATCGACCCGAACTCCGAGCACTAACCAAGGTAAACGGCTTCAATTGATCCAATAACTTCTGCGTTTCTCTGATTGAGATTGAATCTAACCGGCGTTGACGCCCCGCCGATGAGTATTCTTAAGAGTCTCAGATTGCGCGCGATCTCCAAGTGTCTCGTTGCCTGAGGAAGACAAAAACACACGTGGGAGTCTTAGACGTTTATTGGCGTATCGTGGTACTAGATAGTACCGAATACGTGTCGAGGTGGAGCTAAACAATGCAACCAATAAACGCAGTAGCAAAGCGAAAGCGTGTCACACGTGTCGCGTGGGTTTGAACAGGACCGAGCTTATATATATATATATACTTGAGCGGAAAACCGTGCTCAGTAAAACAAAGAAGTATTACAGTTTGGAGTCAGAGATGATTGTGAAGGAAATATGTACGGAAAACGTCCTCGTGGATCGCTCCTTTTCTTCGTACAATCATAGTCACTACAAGATAACTTCCGGCGCATTCACTGCCTCACATTCATCTTCTTCTTTACGATACTTAGCTTGATTCGAAAGAATTCATCTAATGACTAAAAAAGAGACTCAATGCAAACATTTTAAATAAGCCACTTCTTCATCCTCAGATTCCAAACAGACGATTTCTTCTTCAAACAGACAGTCATCAATAGACAGAATGAGTAAATTCCTCGATCAAATCAAACTTTTACCTTCCGGTGGCTGCATCCCCGCCTGAATCAATGTGGATTTGAACTCTGCTTTCGAGAAAGCGTTTATCAGTGCGTGAGGGCGCACAGAAACCCAAGTTTTCTTGACCAGATGCATGGCCGTGGGAATATCCACCTCGGCTTCCATGATAAGTTGTTCATCTTCGACCAAAGCCAAAACATATTCCAGTAAATGTTTCCAAGACAAACATTTGAAAGACCAAATCACTCCCCGATCCATTGGTTGTATCATCGAAGAATAGTTCGAAGGAAGCTGTACCAATTGAAGTAGGAGTAGATTGCGGCTTGGTTATGGCAAGGGGCGTTGTCAATAAATAGTAAAATGGAGCGCCTTTGAGAAACCGTTTTGCGGTTGACATCGGACAGCTAACGATGAAATAAGAAGTCGTCCATGCGTTCTTTGAAGAATTATAACTGGATGGAAGGCATTTTCTATCTATACATCGGAGGCATCGTGGAGTTTGAAACTTTCCAAACACCAAAGGTCATGATCCCACAAAGCAGTAACGTGATCCCCTATTTGGATTTCTTGGACCCAGAAACTCTTTCCTTTCAGACTTAACGTTCTTTCTGGAAGCTGCCTGTTATACAAAGTTATTTCATCTACAGTGAAAATATCACGGTCAGCATATCCATGTATCAACTGCGATAACCCCTCTCGAAACTTGCCCACTGCATCACATGGTACCGCTAAACTTTTCCCACAGACCTATAAAGTAATGCACATGAGTTGCTCGTTTCTCACTTTGTACGATTGAATACCATATCTGTTGTATATCGTATGAGTCAGTAAGTAGACAAAGAGTGAATTAGGTAGTTATTCTATTTCCAGTATGTAAATGCAAATGTAGCCGGTCCGTAAGCCGGTGAGCAAGCAGTGCGCCAACATGCAGACAGTCAACCACAAACTGGCGCAAGTGTTAAAAAAGGAGTGTCATCACGCTGGGCAGTCAACGAACTAATCAATGCGGACAGGTCAGTACTGACCTCTGATTCGCTGAGGCGAATCGACCTTGTACCAGAGTAAGTCTGCATGAGGTGCGTACGTGCGTGTGGCGGCGGGCCGCAACGGTCAATCACGCGATGGACACATCACTCGACTGCAGGCCACAAAAATATCTGTCTGACCAAGAGTGAAACCAACCTTTGGAAGCCTTGAAGTCATTATTATGTAAGCTTTGTGCTAGCTGAATTGTCTTCTTACGTACGATGCCGTTCACCATTGGGAACTCTCCATGCTTTTCTCTCATAGTGGTAAACCAAGCCAAATGTGCCTCATTCATTGCCTCGAACTTTTCGTTGGTTTTCAGGTGGCATCTTTCCTCAGATGTTCTAGCGTTCGAAAATTCCCCGATAATCGTTCGTTTGAATACCACATTCTAGACAGTTTATCGTGAAATTACAAGTGATTTGGCTACGTGGCTCTGAGTTGCACCTGGCTGATTCAGCATTTCCAATACACTGCTTCCCTCTGATTGATAGGCGCTTGCACGTTTTGCCATCAATTGACACTGTCTCCAATCACTTGCATCAGTGCGTCTTCCTCGCAAGAACTATCCAATCAGTGAACAGCGTCATAAACGCGTCACGCTAGGTGCAACGCCACTGGTTGAGTGCGACATTTCAGGGTGGATGGTCAATGGTCGTCCCGAGCATCGGTCAACAGCAAAGTGAGTACCTATCAAGAACTGCGACCTACTGAGGGATGCGACATCGCATAGTCAGAAGCTACGTTATTCAGCATAGGTTTGGTTTGGGTTTTTGAAAAATTGGGAAGATATTGTAAAATGCGACTCCTAAGGGGTGCGACGTAGCAGGAGATTGACTGTATATACATTTGCTACAGTGAAAAGAGCGCAGTAAAGGGAACAGTAAAATATCTCAGCCTCAATGCGTAAAACGGTGGTTTGCGAAACTTAGTGTGCATATCATTTAGGCTGTGATACCTAGAGAAGGATTTCCATCACATCGTCTATGATACATTGTGTCCAATTAGTTTGATTTTTTTGTTCCTCTGCTATGTAGGCAGAAGGCGGTGACATGTTTTTCTTTGGACCGAGCTGCACCTTTGTAGACATAAGCAATTTCACATTATTTCTCAACTATTTCTTAGCATCAAAACAGAAAGAAGACAAATGTCGCGAGATGTTAACATTTCGTTTAATCTTCTCAGTCGCTGACTTGAAACAAACAGGCACATACATAGCACATCGGATGAATCAATTTTGGTGAACAAACGTGTACAAGCATACAACGATTACTAAATTTAGAAGTAGAAGGTCAGCTCCACGGTAAGTGAATCGCTTGTATCAAAAACTTCTGCGTGCATAGGGTCGGGTGATGTAATCGAATAAGCAGTGCTTTACCAATCGCTAAAAGTTTTGCATTTCGATTACGTAATGGTGGTTTGAAAGACGAATTGGGGTCAACTGTGCGTCTTGTTGCCATGAGATGTTTTGCAACAGATGATCCTGGATTTCTAGCCATCACTTGACCATCATTTGTCGGTTGCGTCATCGATTTCACCAACCACTTTGAAATATGTTCGGCCATCCGTTGTGACAGCTGACGGTTTGTTCTGCCTATGTATGCGTCACCGCAACTGCAGGTGAACTGGTATACAGTGTGTGAGAAGGAACTGGTTTGCCAGCCAGGTTTACGTTTGTCCAAATCCATTCCACGAGTGGAGGCGATGAGTCTGAGTTGAGCAGCTGGGAATGTACGGTCTAGAGCTGACCTCAACTTCTGGCGCACATCATTGTAAATGTGATCACCTTTGAACGCAAGCAAGTGTAAGATCCTACGAGCCGAGAGTGTTTAGATAGCTAACACTATCTACGATAACCAAACACGATTTACCTCAACAGTCGAGTATG